GATAAAATATAGTTCTTGTTATGCTTACACTTCCAGTTATGCTTAAACTTAAAATTATATGTTGCATAGCAAATGATTTTCTCTTCACTTAGTCTTTACTGCGCTCAGGATCTTTTCGAAAAAACTTATTCGATTCAAATTGAATCATAAAATTGCGTTAATTATGAATCAACCTAATATCACCTGTGATAAAAGCTTGTTTGTAAACAAAATGAATCAAGGATTGTGAGATAAGTCGATTCATCAACATTTTTGACAAGGACGTCGCTTAACTGTGCTGACTTTAATCAGAGTGAATCATCATTTTTTTGGGAGCAAATGACAAGGATATCAAAGATTTCTATTCATCTCTCTCAAACGACATCAGAAACTCAACAAATGGAGTGATAACTAATATAGCAAACGCATTTTTTCTCCAGTAAGTTTCCCTTCTTTTCATGTTCTTTCTAGAAATATATTCATTCACGTCACTTTCACACAGTTCAGCAAGAAATATACAATCGCGAAGCAGTTTGCTGATACCATACACCAGCTTTATGCAGCGAAAGTAGAGGTCTTGGATTTTGATCAAATTCAAGAGACAGCAAAGGTATTGAAGCAGCTTCAATTATAAAATCTGAGTGTAAATAAATTTTTTTAGACTATCAACGCCTTCGTCGATAAAACAACCAAGGGGAAGATCAAAGACTTCATTCACGATGATATGGTTAAGGGTTAGTTTGATTTCTCAGTGCTATGGGCAGTCATGACTAATGCTCTAGATGCCTTTTCGCTGGTTGTCAATGCAATTTATTTCACTGCAAAGTGGGAGTACGTATTCTTCAAGGAAATGACATCAAACGCAACTTTTTATAGCTCTGAAAACCAGCAGAGAGAGGTGAAACTTTGAAGATTATTATGTCAGATGTAGAAGCTCGCGAAATGGACACACTCATTAATTTGTAGATACTCATGGGAAGGTGCATAATCATTACTTATCTGTTTACGGGAATATCTCTTAGGCAACTACCATACTTAATCCGCTTAATACACTTGATCTGCTTGATCTGTTTCGCCATTGGTCG